ATTTGATTTTCGTACGGCTGAAAATGTCATGTTAGTTAGGTGGGCTGACAACAGTGTAGTAACAGCTGCTACAAATTTTGAAAACATGTCTGTTGGAACAGTTAAAAGATGGTCGAGGGAAAAAAAAGCTAGAGTCCAAGTACCCCAACCCACTTTGTTCGCATCGTACAACAAAGGGATGGGAGGAGTTGACATTATGGATCAAAATGTAGCAGCGTACAGAACTAGAATGCGCCAAAGAAAATGGTGGTGGCCAATCTTTGTCTACCTTTTTGACGTAAGTGTGTCAAACGCTTGGATTTTGAATAAAAAACTTCTTCCCCCTGACACTGCTATTGGCCAACTTTTAAGGTTCAGGAGAAATTTGGCTTTGACGCTTCTAAGGAAGTATGGAACACCATCAAGCCAGGGAAGATCATACCCAAAGCCACTTCAAGATGTGCGTAGAGATAACCTGAACCACTGGCCTGTTGAGATTGCCACCCAAAGAAGATGTGCTAACTGTAAAAAGAAAGCAAAATGTGTCTGTTCAAAGTGCAACGTGGGGCTTCACCCGAAGTGTTTCATGGAGTACCACTCAAACAATCAGGGATAAACATAAGCCAGAAGAACTCAGGTTTCAACAATAAAGGACTTTTTGGTTAACTATATAGACTTCACTATTTTCAAAAATTTGAAATAAATTAAATGTTATAAAGACATTTTATGCTGCTTTCAAAGGCAAATAACTACTTTGTAAAATAGTTTTTGTATTTTTATAACACAAAATAAACAAAACATATTGATAAAAAATTTACTACATGTTTCTTTTTACCTTAACTGTCATAAAGATGTAAACAGCACTGTAGAGATACAAAATGCAAAGAGACATCAGGATAGCCTCTGGGCATAGCGTCCCATATATGGGACGGCCTTTATTTTGCAAATTTTACATGGGATATTTTTTTGAATATTTTTTACATGTTATTTAGCATCTAATAAACAACATTCATGAAAATAAAAGTTGTTTTTCAAAAGTTGAAACTTTATGCACTAATGGGTTAAATGAAATAGAAGTTTTGTTTACGTTCATCTAAGAACACGAGTTATTTTATTATCTATGAAATTTAACTATTAATTTTGAACAATGTCAATAAACATCTTCGGGTAAGAGAAAAAGAAGAATAGTAAAGAACACTATGTGTATCCGATCAAAATTACTAAACAACAAAAAGAAGACCATCGTGATCTTTTGCTACTCAAGAATGAAGAAACAACTCACTATGCATATATTAAACATTTTGAACGCTTAGTATCAAATCAAATGACTAAACACCACAGTAGGATTTATATTTGTAAAAGTTATCTTGTACACTTTACGTCTAAATCTGTTTATGATAGACTTAGGCTCATTTGTTCCACTCACAGTCCAGTTAAAGTCGAAATGCCTGATGAAACACATAATGAATTAAAGTTTTCTAATTTCAAACATAAACAACAGATTCCTTTTGTAATTTATGCAGATTTTGAAGCAATATTACATAAGGAAGCTCCATGGAAAAATTGTCAAAATTTAACTTGTGAAGCACTTAAAGATTAAGATAAAAAAAGAAAAACTAAAAATCATTCAAGTACAATCAAAGAAAGAAAGCATGTATCAATGAGCTTTAGATTTTTCATTGTAAATACACTAGGTGTGAAAACTGAACCCGAACTCTGAAGAGGAGAAAATGCTGGTAGGGTATTTATAGAAATGTTAAAGGATGAAGCCCTTAAAATTTAAAGAATCTAATTTCCAATTTGTGATTCAACGGAAGATGAGATTCAAAGTTTTAATTTAGCTACATCATGTCACATATGTGAACATGACTTTGAATTAGATGAAAATGAAAAAGAAGACCATGACCCGCTAAGCGGATTATACAGAGGAGCAGCCCATCAATGTAACCTTCTATACCAGTTATCTAATTTTGTACCTGTAATAATGCATAACCGGTCATCATATGACTTGCACTTCATCTGCCAAAATTTAGCTATAGATGATCTTGATATAAAAGTCATACCTTCAACAGAGGAAAAATATATCAGTCTGAGTAAAAAAGTACGGTCCAAATTCGAATTACTCTTTATTGACAGTTGTATATTCATGGGTAGCAGTCTTGATTCTCTAGCTAAAAACTTAAGTAAATCTTAATTTAAAGAGACCACTAATTATTTTGGCCTTGACAATATTGACTTAGTTACTCGTAAAGGGGTTTTCCCTTACGAGTACGTATCCAATTGGGAGACACTAAACGAAACTTCTTTACCAAGTATTGAACATTTTTATAGTTCCTTGAACAACTCAAATATCACTAAAAATGACTATTTAAATGCACAGACTGTTTGGAATACTTTTAACATAGCAGATTTAGGTTCCTATTCAGATTTATATCTTAAGGCAGATGTACTTATTTTATCTGATGTATTTGAAAATTTAAGAACTGTATGTAAAAATCACCATGGCTTAGATGCATGTTGGTACTATACTGCTCCTAGGTTATCATGGGATGCCTGTTAAAACTTACTGATGTAGCATTAGAACTAGTTAATGTATTTATTATTAGAACGTGGTATTCGTGGTGGAATTATTCAATGTGTTAAGAGATTCAGTAAAGCTAAAAATAAGTACTTAAGTAATGACTTTGAAGGCCCGGTAGAGAATTCCAATGATAATTTGAAAAGTAATGAAACAGTACAAGGTAATACAGATAAGTCAAACTACCTTATTTATTTAGATATCAACAATCTCTACGGGAACGCGATGAGTCAGTATATTCCATATAAGGGGTTTAAATGGTGTACCAATGATGAAGTGAAAGTTTTGCAACCAACCATTTTAAATACAGAAGAAACAGATGATGTAGGCTATATAATTTAGGTAGATATTCTGCATCCATCTAGTTTACATGAAAGACATTCTGATTTTCCATTTTTCACCGAAAAGAAAAAAATCTAAGAAAGGTAGATTTGAAAAACTATCATTATATTATTCATATACAGACATTAAAGCAGGCTATTCAGAATGGTCTAGTGTTAAAAACCATTCATAGAGCTATAAAGTTTCAGCAAAGTAATTGGTTGAATAAATACATTGCAAAAAATACTGAACTGAGAGCTGCTGCAAAAAATAATTTTGAACGAGAATTTTTCTACTTATGAATAATAGCTATTATGGTAAAACAATGGAAAACCTTAGAAATAGGTTGAATATGCAGCTTGTTTGTAACAATACTAGAAAACTAGAAAGATTAATATCAAAACCAAACTTTATTGATAGAAAAATATTTACTGATGAACTAATTGCAATCCATTTGGGTAAAACTAAAGTAATATTTAATAAACCGATCTATATTGGTCTCACAGTTCTTGAACTTAGTAAAAAACCTATGTATGACTGAAAATCTTAGTCTTTGTTATATGGATACAGATAGCTTCATTATGACATACTATGTGATGATGTCTATTTATAAATTAAGGAGAACTTGCACTGGTTTAATACAAGTAATTATGATGTAAATCATCCATGTTTTTCAGAATTGAGGAAAAACAAATAGGGTACATGAAAGATGAGTTTGGTGACATTCCTCTTAAAAAGTAACTAGGTTTGAGAAGCAAATTGTACTCATTGGTTTCATCTACTTTAGACGGTATTAAAAGAGCTAATGGAATAAAAAAATATGTAATTGAAAAATAAATAATGTTTAGTGATTTTGAAGCAGTTCTGATTAAAAATGTAAATTTATTCTAAAGTATGAATTTGATACGAAGCTACAAGCATTTAATATATTCAATTAACTTAAACAAACTAGCTTATCATCTTTTGATGATAAAAGGGTAGTTTTAAGTGATAATGTTCATACTTTGCCCTATGGACTCCACTGTTTTGTTTCAGATAGGAAACGTAAAAAAAAGATCTATGAGGAGTTGAAGAATAAAAGAGTTAAAATTAATTAATTAAGATGTTAAATGAAAAAGCTTCTATAGTACTATTTTCATTTTTTTTCTCTTTCAGATACAGAGTGTCACATAAATGAATCACAGTTACTTTATGTAGACACTGATACATTTGTTACCCCTGTTTAAAAATATATTATTTTAATATAACATAATCAAGGTTTTTTCTTTTTTGTTTCTAATTTACAGATCGTCAAAGAGTCTTTATCAAAATACGCAAAGCACCGTTGTACGAAGTGTATGAGGAACTCGTGACGAGTCCAAGCTATGCGACCAATGGCAGCAGTGGGATGGACTTACACGCACATCTCCCCGGACCGTGTAATAAAGTAAAGATTTATCCCTCTCGTAGAGGAGTTATTTCAACGGGAATAGAAATCGAAATCCCTCCAGGGTATGAGGGACAAATTAGACCCAGATCGGGGTTGGCTCTTCTCCACGGTTTGACCGTGTTGAACACGCCCGGGACGATTGATTCAGATTATCAGGGAAAAATTTTAGTTATTTTACTAAATCTAGGAGAGCGAATTTTCGAAGTGAGTGATAACATGAGGATTGGGCAATTAGTAATTTGCAAAGTAGAAAAACTTAAATGGTCGCTCACTGACACTCTTAGTCGGAGCAAGCGAGCTTGAAGTGGGTTTGAGTCAACAGGAATCCACGGTCCGCCCGAGACAATCGAGTTGGACTTATCGGATGATGATAATGATTCAATTGATGCTAATGTTGGTGATAATGATTCAATTGAGGCTAATGTTGGTGATAATGATTCAATTGAGGCTAATGTAGGTGATAATGCTTACAATGATGATGTTGATGATGATGATGAAGATGATAAATTACGGTCAGAACAGGACCTAAATGAAATTGTAGTATTATAAATAAGCTTTTTTATGATTGTGTATTTATGTTTAGCTATAAATCAATTTTTTGGATACGTCAAAAAGATTGTCACATTTGGACAAAAGTAAGCACAGGGTGAAATTCTACGGAAACATTGTAGTCTTCAAGGTGTGTGGAGGTTTTTACCCCCTCGCCAAGTGGACCTGGTTTGCAGAAGTGTTATCATCCAGTCGTAGACCACGACTGACTGATTCACTAAGGCGGCGTGTGCCATCGCATGCGTTATCGCTGCGGGAAGCCAGACACTGATAAGCCTGTCTCTGTTGTAACTTTGTATCAAATAGCAAATACTAAGCATAAAATATTTGATATATTTCAACCTTAAATTTAAAAAAATTGGGTTGAGAATTCCTTTGAGATTGCATTCTAGGAAATGGGTAAATAATTGTAAGACCAAGAATCATTCAAGACAAGACACATAGTTTTATCAAAGTTTTCTTTATTTTGGTCTCACTTTTAGAAAGAAGGGGCGAATGTTGTGTAATCACATGGTTTAATTTATTAGTTTACAATCTGGTTCAGTTTATACTTGGAGCAGCGAGCTCAGCCAAAAGTTAAGCAATAATTTTCCAAATTTTAGGAGTTTGCAACATTATATCATAACCATAGATGGTTTGAGATGAATCTGGAAACTAGCATTGACGTCATAAACCCTCACCACTCTTGAGGTTAGATACAGTAGGTTCTTGTGAACCACAGAGTTAGAGTCAAAGTCTTCCAAGACATCAGTCCACTTCACATCTGGACATGGCCCTCCCGGTGTTGCTATTAGCAGGTATGTGATAGTAGGCTTTTGAGAGACTTTTGGTCCATTAGTAGCCCTCTAAATTATTACCCTCTAGTAATGGGGATTTCTCTGTGATATTAGTATTTTAGTTAAAAGGAAAGATATTAACATGTATCATTGTATGTGCTTATCCGCTCAATAAACGAACCATATTAGCTTCACGCACGAGTATTCATTCTGGACACCCCCACCCATTAGCGGTTACAACATTTGATGTCAGAAGTGGGATCCTTTTTTTGAAGGGGAATGCCCTTTAAAGTGGGTTTAAATTTTTAAAGGGAATGTCCTTTTTCAAGGGGTACCTTATTTTAATTTAAGGATTTTTAATTTATACTAACGGATGAATGTTTAATGCTTTTCGTTAGGATTTAAAAAAGGCAGTAAAGGAAATAATTAAAATGTGAAATTGTAAATAAATTATAAGGGGATGACTGGAATTAAGGACAGGGAATATCTTTCGTACATAATTTTACTATGATTGCTTAAATCACATATTTACTGAAGATAAAATAGCCGTGTTAGTATCTGTCCATGTATCTGATACAAAGACACATATTTTGTTCGAGAGACCGACACAGTATTTTTCAAGGAAATTTAATATAATAATACCTGCAGAAGAAATAGATGAGGTAGGGTGAAGTGGGGTAAGTGTACGCACGAAAATCACTAGTTGCACTTTGATTTGCTATAACTTCAGTTGTATTTCAGATATCTTAATGAAATTTGGTGAGCAGAAAGCTTGGAATGTGGTCTATGGAATGGGGTAAGTGTACGCCCCCCCCCTATATTCCATATAACTCGCTTTAGGTGCAATCTGGGGCAAGAGGATTATAGCTTAGAATCTGCTGATTAAAATGGTTTTTTATTTGTAAAAATATCTCAAACCGTTCAGGAGTTATGAACTTTTTTGTGGAACTCCGCGTACAATTTCCGCAAAATGGCAAATTTGTAAATTTACAATTATTAATATAAACTTGTTAATATATTTTTATTAATTAATCAAATGCTGTAAAAAACTTCTTTGACATCACACAAATAATGGCAGGTTAGTTATTATCTAAAAATATAATTTTTAATTGACTTAGAAAAATCTTACCTTGTGGGGAAAGTGCGTGGCAATTCACTGTTTTTCACTGTACCTATTCACTGTAAGTGCGTATTGTCTACATAACTAAAATAAAACTGTTAATTGACTTAGTAAATGTACCTAGTTCACACACACTTATAATTATATTTATTTACATATTTACAGGGTTTTTTTTTTTTACTGAACATGGACACTAAAGAGGGAAGCGTCGAAAATCAGCTCCCCCCGTCTGCCTGGTGTAGGCTCTGGCAAAACCTTCAGTATGTCGTCATAGGGAATGAATGAAAAATCTTCTTTTTCAGGCCAGTAAAATGTGTTGTCACCTTTTTTTCGTATAAACTTTACGATAGGTCCAATGTCATCAATTGATGTGATTTGACCAACAAAGTATAAAACTTTTGTCTTCGTTGCAAATCTTGACAAAACCCAATTTCCAACTTTTGGTTTCTCTTCAGATCCTTTTTCTGCTTCTTGCTCTTTAAAATTTTCAACTTGTTCTAGGTCATCCAGTTCATCAAACGGCAATACATCGGCATCAGGATCGGAATCAGAATCGGTGGGAATGAAAAATTTCTCTCTGCTGGATATGGTAGCTTTATTCTTTGTTTTAAGTTCTTTCCTTTTATTTGTACTTTTAAGGAGATCTAGTGCAGTATTGCTTTCAGTTTCAAACTTCAGTTGTTTTTTCATAATTTTTTTTTTTCATTTTCTTTTTTCTTCCAAGTTTTTTTTACTTCTTCTTTTTTCATGTTTTTGAGTCTCATTGCCACTTCTTCGCTTGTAATAACCTCAGCCTCTGAACTTGATACCTTCTTCCTTTTCATGACTTCAACAACATTTTGTTTTACAGTCTTTAATAAAACTTCTTCAAATGAGGCATTCGGAGACAAGAGAGGCTGCACTTGAGAAGGTTGATTGAGGTTGCCAGGTTGACTTGGTGTACTAGATGAACAAGATGCACCTTGCATCGGATGTTCTACGTCGGGTGTCAGTACGCTGGTGTCAGTGGGGTCGGGAGGACTTTCTGTAAGGCCTTGAGCTTCGGCTTTGTGTAGGCCTTGAGCTTCGGCTTCGTGTAGTTGATATCTTCGTAACATGTCAGGATCGTATTTGTCATTTGGTATTACATTACAGTCATATGGGTAAATACCCGCTTTTTTTAACCCACTTTGCAAGATTGTCGCCTGTGTACTGCTCCACACTTCTCCAATGAGGACGGAGAATATTCTTTTTGGAATTTTCACCCCAACATGTTTGCGTTGCCAAGCAACAAGTTTCGCGTCCCATTTGCTTTTCAAACCTTTGAAGACTGTAAGATCCATTGGTTGTAGCAAGTGACTAGTGTGCGCGGGTAGTTTAAGTATAACAACATTGTTGGAAATTGCCAGTTCAACCACTTTTATATCAAGATGGGTTGTATGTCCATCATAAAGCAGTACTACTGGCCTCTCTGTTCCACATTTGTTTAAGAAAACATTCTTGAAATAGTTGGCGAAAATCTCCGTTTCCATCCAACCGTTCTTTGAAGAAGCGTATGAAGTCCCTGGAAACGCCTCACTTTCTGGGGCCAACCACGAGTCCCATACTGCTTTTCCCTTAAATACTATGAGAGGAGGGAGCTTTTCTCCTGCAGCATTGCCGCCGAGTAATACAGTCGTATTTTCTCTCCCTGGCCCACTAGTGATTCTTGACGAAGGACGGTTTACTTCTCCGACTACTTTGGTTTTAGACGGGTCAAGAGAAAAATTGGTCTCGTCTATGTTAAAGATTTGGCCCGGCTTGTTTTCTAGTTTCAAATCGACCAATGTGCTCTTTAACAGTTTGAAATAATGTCCAATTATAAATGGGTCTGTACACTTCTTCCTAGCATATTCCAGGCTTTGTGGCTGTTTAACAGACAATCGGTGACGTTTTTTAAATCCTAAAAACCAATCCTCACCAGGTACTCCATTTTTAAATGGATTGCGGATTTTGTTATGTTTTACGTACTCCCCTACCACCTCTAGCAACTCTTTCCTACTAAGGCCCCAACCCCAACGTTCCATCACTTTTAGGCCCTGGGCTAATTTTTCTTCCTCATGACGTGGGATTACTGTTTCTCTCCCCAAAGTAATACTTTTACCTCTTAAGCCATTACGGTGGTGTCGGAGAGTTGCTTCAGGTATTTTAAATTTCTTTGAAGCACCTCTCAAAGTGGATGTTCCAGAGTTAATATCTTGGAGTGCTTTTTGCAAGTCTTCACGGGAGTACTTTGACCCCCTATCAGTTTTTCTTACATATGTTCGAACCATGTTAGTTCAGGTTGGTTAAACAAACTACACTGCACATATAATATCTGTGATATAAAACCACAGTCCACAGTCACTTTAATTGTTTTTAAATGATCACAGTCAATTTAACTTGTAAACTACTGAGCAGCAACGTGGTTGAAACCATTCACAATCCAAAATGCCATTGTACAAAAATCTGAAACAAGGATTAAAAATAAATTGGGGTTTGAGTAAACAAAAGACAGTTTAGGTATAAGGTCCAAAGGTGAAATCAACCAGGAAAATAACTTAGGAAATAAGAAAACTTGTCTTAACCTGATAACTAATTGTAAGTTGTCACACCATTGAAAACCCCTATGTACACTTACCCCGGGGATGGGAGTACACTTGCCCCAACCAGTGTTCGGCCCGGGGCAAGTTCCCCCCCCCCCCATTTTTGTAATTATAAATTTAAGTAATATATAAATGATATTTTTGGATTCCTCTTCAAAAACTGCATTAGTGTACAAATTTTCAAATTTCTATGGCTATCCGTTGATTTTAGGGAATTTTTCAAAATTTCAAGGCGGTACTTTCGTAGTAAGTAGAAATGCAGAGGTGTTTTAAAACTTAGTTTTAATGTATAAATAGTCATAAATGTTGATTTCTAACTTCAGAATCTGAAAGATCACATTTGAAAACATAAAAAATTATAAATTAAAAATTTTTTTCCCCAATTATGGCTTATTTATAGCCAGCGCGTCCACTTGCCCCGTGCGTACACTTACCCCACTTCACCCTAGTGGATATTAGGGCCATGTTACCGGGAATTATTAGAGTTTGTAGTAGCTTTACGGTTGTGAGTATTCGTTCGGAAATTGTTATCTATTAGGAGCTATAGTAACGCGTATAATTAAGGGTCGAATTAACCATAGGACTAACTATACCGATGTGCCAAATATCATTGGTGTCAGACTAACTAAAATAGAGATCCGATTTTTGCCAGAGTAAATTTTTCTGGTAGTAACTTCTTAAATTTAATCCCTCAAAACTACACCTTTTTTTATAAATGAATTCTTGCTCCAAGCAATTTGTAATCATTGCGTTGTTGGTGGGAAAAATGCTTATTCTAAATTAATTAGGTACTATAACCACTAGATACATTTAATTAATGTATCGAATTGAATTTAAAACGTAAGCTTGGTCCTGGTTAGAGGGATTTTTCTTAGGGATATTAGTGGGCGTATTAGTGATCATGTGTGGATTGATCGGAATGTTTTGGTACTATAGTGTTGTGGTGCTAATCTAACCCGGTACCGCACGGGGTTTTAGTCTGGGGAATCCTGCGGACAACCCGATGACCACTGCCCAGAGCCCGAGGAACCTACAACCGAGAGTGTCATCAGCACAATTTGTGAGAAGTTCTTCGCAATCACCAGCGAGAGCCAGCCCCAGGCGAGAAGACCATGTGCAAAACCCGACCGGACACCCAAGCCCTTCCTACACCCCACGGATACCAACTCCTACGAGACCGTCGTCAATAACATCGGTGAGACCACAGTCCTCGCAGTCACCGGCGTCCGGAGGAGAACAGGGAATGCCCTCGTCCGTACGAGACAAACCTGCCCCAAACCCAGCTGGTTCCTCACGCCATTCCAACTACCCACCGAGCCGAACATCGCCGAGACTTTCATCAGTACCACAGACAAGACCACAATCCTCACAGTCACCGGCGTCCGGAGGAGAATGGGAAATTTCCATGTCTAGGCGAGACGACTCTGTTCAGAACCCGATAGAAACCCAACGCAGTGCCTACTACCAGCAAAACTGTTCGGTAGAACTAGCTGAAAGAAGTGCTTCTCAGTCAACATTATCTAGAGAGGAACATAGAATACCCACCTCTTTGAACCCGATGCAACCACCATCTTCCAACCATCCACCCCCACGGAGGAGCAAAAGGACGACAAAAAGGAGTGCAGTAAGGTGCACATCGGACGTATCGGAATCATCGGACTGTGGGTCGGACGCGCCTTCATACTCTAGTGGCAGCGGTAGGCGGAGAAAATCCGGACGACTGGACGAGATGGCTGCAAGGATGCACGCAGAGTTGGAAACATTTTTCTTCTAGTCGCTTTCTCAGATCTTCATGTTCGCTCTTATTCCCCTGTATTTGGTGTCCCATTCGAGACAATCTCGCGACTTTATCGGAAATGATCTTATTCATTTCCCTAGCCCACCGTTCAATGGTTTCCCCCTGAGCGGTGACTAGTCTCATCAAGCTGCATTGTGCTGTACAATGAAATGCAGAAGGATATTGCTTCACTTATTTTTTGATCCCTAGATGTTTTTAAAACACTAAGGAGTTCTTGAAACTCATGAACAGGGCTATGCATAACAGATATGGTTACATATTTCACAGTATCCTTAATAATCCTACTGTAATTGACACTGAAATTGCCGTTCATCGATTTGTCTATGAGTGTCTCCACCAATCTTTTGGTTTCTTCGATGATGTATCTATTTGGCCGTAGAGAAAACATCTTGGGTTGCTCTTGAATAGCACGGCCACTCTTGAACAGTTCGCTGATCTGTGCCGTCAACATCATCTTTAAAATCCGACGCAACCACCATCTTCCGAAATTCCACCTCCGCTGAAGCGCAATAGGACGACACAAAGGAGTGCAGGGAGGGAGGATTCAGAACATCGGAGAGTGGGTCGGACGCGACTTTAGTGGCAGCGGTAGGCGAAGAAAATCTGGAAGACTGGACGAGATGGCTAGAATTGTGCGCACTCATGCGGAACAGCAACAGTAGGCCCAATCGGTAAACAGTCACGTCTCATTCCAGCCGACACCACCAATGAGCCTACTGTTGACGACACCCGTCGAAGAAGAGTGGAGCACATCGGGTATCAAAATCAGCGAACCGTTCAAGAGTGGCCATGCTATTCAAGAGCAACCAAAGATGTTTTCTTTACGGCTGAATCGAAATATCGTCGAAGTGACCAAAAGATTGGTGGAGAGACTCATCGACAATAGGAAACGGCAATTTCCTTGTTAATTACAGTAGAATTATCAAGAATACTGTCAAACATATAACAATAGCTGTTACGGGTAGCCTAGTTCGTGATCTTCAGGAACTCCTTAGTGTTTTTTATCGTCTAATGATCAAAAGAAAAGTGAAGCAATATCCTTCTGAATATATTATTGTACGGCACAATGCAGCTTGACGACACTCCCATTGTACGGTGGGCTAGAGAAATTAATAAAATCATCGCCTGTGTGGAAGGACACCAGATCCAAGGGAATGCAGCCGAATATGTAAATTTGAGAACGCGACTGGAAGAAAAACTGGGCCAAAATGACGGAAACTTCCTGCAGATGTGTAGCAAGTTGGCCAAAATAAATGATTAGATCAGAGCGGTTGTGGCATGTGGCAACGAATTTTGCCTAACATGTGTTGACGAATGGAGACGTACGACCAAGACCTGCTGCCCCATCTGCAGGAGACCAGACGTCTTTTAATTGGTTATATTGTACATTCTGTTGTTGTGTCATCCGTCGTCCAGTATGGTGTACAAGAAATGTGACTCTTGCAAAAGGGTTTCAACATGTACCCAATTGCTAAGGGATTATTACGAAAACGGATTTTATGACATATGTTGTGGATGTGTATGTTTGAACAATTTCTACTGGAAGTACGGAAACAAAAAGAGTGGAGGCTTCCCTCACGAAGCATGGGCGGAAGAATAAATGGAAAAACAGGTCCTGCACAACAAAGAGGAAGACAGGGCAACGAAACTCGGCGTCACAACACAACCCAATACTTCCGGAACAGTTGGGGAGAAGCTTTGTGGAATATGCCAGGGCGAGTTCAATATCAGAGCGGTCCTCAGTTGCGGAAATGCATTTTGCTTAGGATGTTTAGACACATGGAGAAGACGCAACATGACCTGCTGCCCCGTCTGCCAGAGACCGGATGTTTTCGAGTGTCTGTTAGTACCTGTTGATTTTAATCGATGTATTGATTTCGAGTAATGATGTTGATGTAAGTTGTGAAAATTTGTATAATATCTCGACCAATGTGAAGGATGTATGAAAGATATAATTAGGATAAATTATGTTATGCCTTAGATATAATCTATTATTATAACTTTTAACCAATACCAAATAAAATTGTATTATGTCCATACGATATATGTTACTGTTCATTTTGTTTGTACTCTCTATTACTATAATAAATAAAAATAAATATAAATATTAAAGAAAAACACGAGACTATCCAAGTGGGTGTGTAATCAACACTCCCTCCCCCCCTGCAAACCAAGAGGCCTTAAATACGGATCCATCAGTTGTCAGTCAGCAGTCAGCTTGATCAGTGCGGGTCAGTCCGGGTTGTTAAATAAGTTTCTTTGTGTTATTTTCAATTCATATTTTACAGTTTCACTCCTATCTTAAATTTCAATTTAAAATTCTTAGTTCAATTTAATATTAAAACGGCGTCTAGATCATCTGTCTACGAGGATGAGGTGGATATAAGACCGAAGGAGTTGAAGAATTCGTTGGACAACTGCTACATCATCGTTGCTCAGATGATGGGGAAAGGCTCCTATAAGAGGTATGTGCCGGTGGACGTGATGATAAGAAGGCCATTGGAAGTAGAAGGCGGGAAGATTATACGGATCCAGCGATCCGATGAGGACGGGCCAGGTATCAATAGCCAGGTATTGGATGCAGTTATCACACCGCATACCATACTCTACAACGCCTGCTCCACGCTGCTACGCTTCGAGGACCTGTATAGAGTATAGACCTGTATCAAACGACTATGTATAGAGTCAGAACATTCGTTAATATTTTACATTTTGTTGACAACAAAAAACAAGTTGTCACTAATAGTTTTCAAAAATTATTCGAAAACGGCCTGCCAGATCTTTCCGAACAGTGGAAGAACGTGGATCTGCCTGTAGTCAAATCTTTGCCTCATGGCTGGATTTGGATCGTGACGTGATTGGCATTATGCTTGAATGTAAGCGAAGAAATAATCAAACTGTGCAAAAAAATTCTTGGATCTGAGAGGGAGGGATTTAATAATATTTTTGGATCTATTAAAGAAAGTGATAAAAACTGTTACCAAAATTAAACCAAGTCACGTGGGGGATACAATTGAAAGTCTGGGGAATCCTGCGGACAACCCGATGACCACTGCCCAGAGCCCGAGGAACCTACAACCGAGAGTGTCATCAGCACAATTTGTGAGAAGTTCTTCGCAATCACCAGCGAGAGCCAGCCCCAGGCGAGAAGACCATGTGCAAAACCCGACTGGACACCCAAGCCCTTCCTACACCCCACCGATACCAACTCCTACAAGACCGTCGTCAATAACATTGGTGAGACCACAGTCCTCGCAGTCACCGGCGTCCGGAGAAGAACGGGAATTTCCCATGTCTAGGCGAGACGACTCTGTTCAGAACCCGATAGAAACCCAACGCAGTGCCTACTACCAGCAAAGCTGTTCGGTAGAACTAGCTGAAAGAAGTGCTTCTCAGTCAACACCCATGGAAGAAGAGTGGAGCACATAGGGTATAAAGATCAGCGAACTGTTCAAGAGTGGCCGTGCTATTCAAGAGCAACCCAAGATGTTTTCTCTACGGCCATATAGATACATCATCAAAGCGACCAAAAGATTGGTGGAGACACTCATAGACAAATCGATGAACGGCAATTTCAGTGTCAATTACAGTAGGATTATTAAGGATACTGTGAAATATGTAACCGTATCTGTTATGCATAGCCCTGTTCATGAGTTTCAAGAACTCCTTAGTGTTTTAAAAACATCTAGGGATAAAAAAATAAGTGAAGCAATATCCTTCTGCATTTTATTGTACAGCACAATGCAGCTTGATGACAGACTAGTCACCGTTCAGTGGGAAAACATTGAACGGTGGGCTAGGGAAATGAATAGGATAATTTCCAATGAAGTCGCAAGATTGTCTCGAAGGGACACCAAATACAGGGGAATAAGAGCGAATATGAAGATCTGAGAAAGCGACTAGAAGAAAAATTGCAGCAAACACACGGACACTTCCTGTAGATGCTAGGCAAGTTGGCCAAAATTAATGATTACGCGACCTTCGTCCTGTTTGGGATGAACATGGACCCAACAGTTTCAGCCACTGCGGACCTAATGGTTAAAACCATAATCTTAACGTGGAAGATGAAGGGGGAGTTCCCAGTGGTGGCCGACAATGACCAGATAAAAAATGTATTCTGGTCCCTGCCATTTGCCTATGTTACCCATCTGCAGGGATTTGGACGGCCAGTTCTAGAGGAAACCGAGTCAGAACCTCACTGCACAATAGACGACTTCCTCAGGGATGGCATTGAGTTGGATGCCTCTTACAGACAGTATCAGCCCCCTCCCCCCAGAGTCGGACGGTCGGGTGGAAATGAGTCTGCCATTTGCTGATTACGGTAAGTAAAGCTTTTATTCAGTTAATGTAGTACTGGACTGTTTATGGAAAATATTTTGTAATAGTATTTTTATTTACATACATCTGCTTGTAACCACATCTTCCCCCCCCCTCCCACTTCCCTCCAATGCTTTATTGTCTGTCACTATCATCATTACCTTGCAAGATGCCTAACACAAGAGATTGCTGGGCTTGCCGGTGCTTTGTATATTGCATCTCCTCAGAGCACTGGGATGAATGGATCCCCCTATGTTGTGAGTAAGTATTTTTAAACTTTGGGGTTCTTTAGGGTCTTGCAAATTATTCTTAAGGTGAGCATGTAATTCTTTCTGTTAGTTAAATGATCTTTTATGATTTATAGATGCTCGCAGATGACCTCAGATGAGGTCCTGACGGTGCACTATGGCTCCTATAGGGTGTATGTGGCAGAGTGCCACAAAAATCATGTGGCATGTGTGTAAACATGTGTGTAACAATAGAAAAAATTGCCAGAAGTAACTCCCGATCAATCAAGACTGAAACAATTCTTTGAGCTATTGGATCAAGCACTAATTTTAGGAAACTGGAAGCCAAAATTTAAAATCACTGTATTGAGACTTAAATTAAAGGGGACCGCAAAAGCGTTTTCGACTTCTAGGTTTGACTTCAGTCAAGTG